ATATGTTATCAATTTGGACTTTATACAGATCACAGCAACAGCAAAAAAAAAATGCTCTTACCTCCCCGAAGAGAATCGTGAGTAAGTTCGAATTCATTTCATAATGTCCATAACTGCGTTTCGCACGTAGAACCCAGTGTTAGAAGAATAATGTTTTCTTTTTTTTTTACGCCATGCAGCCAATAGCGCCGTTCGCCGCACGTGGCATTTTTCTGTCGCGATAAACGCGGTAAGCGTTTCCTGCTTTAATAGCTAGCGTGCACGGTTAAAAAATACTATGAAGTGAACAAAACAAACAGCATTCTCGTCTAGGCGTTGGCGTTTCACAATGGGGTCTCAAGCACACATTTCAGGATGTTCTTGAGAGGTGCCCAGCCAGTGAACGGTCAAGAGTGAGGCGCGAGCAGATGGGAAAGTGGTGTGCATGGAGGAGAGAGAAGGAGCAGCGAAGCAATGTACCTACCCTCTCCTACACTCTCGCACCACATGCTCCGGTTGCTGAGGGCGAGGATAAATGCAAGCTTCCGCAGCTGTTGCTATGGGAGAGGGCGGTGGATGGATCCTGACGGACGCCTGACATAGCTCGACTAAAAGATGCATTTGCATTTAAACCCATCTGGAGTGTCCATATAATTTTTTTATAATAATGAGGATATTGCACAATTTAGCTGAGTGTTTGAAAAATGCAACATTGAACAAATGATGCTTCACAATTAAAGTGTTTTGAACAAGGCTAAATCTGTTGTGAATGCTCTTACTGCTCTGAACTTGCTCAAAAAGGCCCTTGTGGCTACTCTAAGCCTGCTCCAAAACATTTTTTGGCTATTCCAAGCCTGCCACAAAAAAACACTTCTGCCTGTTCCCAGGACTGCTCCCAAATCTATGTGCCCTGTCCCACTCCTCCTATTTGGTAAAGCGCCCTTCATATGCAGCGCGGCCTCACATGTAACCCCAACTAAAAGCGGGGCACTGCCAACGCAAAATTAGTTTTTCTCTGTATTTTGTTTTGTTATGTTTGTTTGACCGGAGGGGGCTCGTGGACATCCGCGCATGCACCCGTGGCGGCAAGAACAGCGACAACGCCGGCTCGTGAGGCAGTGGCTCACCTTGTGCACACCTGTGCACAATAACAATCGCTTGCTCTTAAGTGGAAGTCATCAAGGCTACGAGAACACCTTGTGCTTTGGCGGTGGCAGGACAACCGCGGAAAAGGATGCATGGTCGTTCGTGCCAGAATGACAAAATCTGTGGCAACATTCCTGATTTTCCCTGGCAAAAATTCGTTATATGAAGAATGTCTCCCGCTGTTACTTTGTGGCTTAGAGGTCGCAAATACATGAGCTTTTATGGGGTAAGGGTGGGGAATAGAAAGACTGTTATATGGAGCCCCGCCACGGTGGTCTAGTGGCTAAGGTACTCGGCGGCTGACCCGCAGGTCGCGGGTTCAAATAACGGCTGCGGCGACTGCATTTCCGATGGAGGCGGAAATGTCGTAGGCCCATGTGCTCAGATTTGGGTGCACGTTAAAGAAGCCCAGGTGGTCTCTCACCTGGGCTTCTTACCTGGGTTAAGAAGCCTACGGCGTCTCTCATAATCATATGGTGGTGTTCGGACGTTAAACCCCACATATCAATCAATCAATCAAAAAACAGCACCTTGTGATGTCTGGAGCAGCTTGAATTGTATACATAGTAACATCCTGTGCAGCTGCTGAAAATGCAGCCGCCGCATTGCAGCTGCAGCTGCAATGCGGCGGCTGCATTTCCTATAGAGGCGGAAAAGTTGTAAGCCCGTGTGCTCAGGTTTGGGTGCACGTTCAAGAACCCCAGGTGGTCGAAATCTCCGGAGCCCTCCACTACGGTGTGTCTCATAATGAAATGGTGGTTCTGGGATGTTGAACCCCACAAATCAATCATCAATTGTTTGTTATATGGAGGTTCGGTATAAGTAGGTTTAACTGTAATAAATGTGTATTAGTCCACTTGTAACCCCTGTAAAGGTGGTTTCGCTGCTGTGAAAGGGTGCTAAGCAGTGAAAACGCCTATTTATTGAAAATTCACATTGCCACGAAGCCCCACTTCAAACCTAAATCAACATATTAACCTCACATTGATTAATCATTTTTGATGTTTAGAAGCTTGTTATATCGGCTGATATACTCTAAGTATAGAAAATATTAAAACCTAACATGTTTTACAGGTTATCACGTGTATTCTATTAAAAGATAAATCCTACTACTATTGAACGTTGTTTCCACTTCTCTTAAACAAAATAAAAATGGCATTTGCGCAGGCCTTGTTTCAATTTTAAAAAATGTATATATTGTGCAGGTGAGTTAGGTCATGACAAATGTGCCCATCTTTATTTATAACATGCCGTGATGCTACCATTGCTCCAAACTGTGCCAAATTGCCCTGGCTGCTACATCCTGCTCATTTCCTTAAAATTCAGTGTCTGCACGAGGCCTGCACCAAAGGGTATTTTCTTGCTTTCAGAAACAAAACTAACTACTTGTGGTTCCTCTATTGAAAGCGAGGTTGGGGTGGACTCTGCGTATAACGCAGTGCGAGCCTAGTTAAAGTGAGCAAAAAGTCGCTGTTGCAATATGTTCAATGTCCGATTTCATGGACTACCTTGGGACCACAAAATCATCTGAAAAGATAAATTCGTTGTGTTTTTATCCTGCTCAAGCAGTCAGATCACCACAGCCACAGCCAAAATAATTTCAGTGCCTCCTAGTAAACTTATCAGGTATTTTGGTGCACGGCCAAGCTCTCGTCAGTGCGTTCGGGACGTGCCATAAACTCCTTAACCACGAGCCAATCAACAATACCACATTGGCATCTTGTGATAAGTGCTTGTAATGAGGTTCTTCAGAATAGATAGACTGATGAGAGCATATTGTGTCGGGGACAGCAACGCGTCTAATAAAAATGGCGAGGCTGTTTTCTTTTTCTTTTTTTTTCACTTTATGAAGACACGTACAAAAAAAAACGCACAACGAGGACATTATATGAGGACACAACACGTTATACCATGAAAACAAAACTCCAGTAGCAACACACAAGCACAAGCTGAGTCTCAACACGAGAATGTCTGACCGGCGAGTGCTTGGAACGTTTGCGAGGCACATTTGCATAGGCGCGATATAATTCTAGGATGTCGCTCCGCAGGAGTTCGGTGAAGAGCTGGGCAACACTAAAGTAGATGCGCCGACGGAGCAGGTGGGTGCCAAAGACTGAAGTTGACGAAGCCACCCAGACTTCTTTCTCCTCGAACGCGTGGACCAGAGGCCGTCGACGCTTGAGGCCAAGTTAAGCAAGCTGCTCCGACCCTTCGTCTTTGCCAGGCACTCGGGACAAAACCACTACCACGACCATAAAACTGTCTTCCTCGCTGCTGTCCGAACCAACGCCACCTTGCCAACCACGTGCGACTACACTCCACGCACTCTCCTCTCTCCTCTCCCCCTTCTGTCGCCGCCCCTCGATGTCTTAGTCTTCGCGCTAGTTTTTCCACCACACTACTGCCTGAAGAATTTGTTTGCTATGTCCATGTCTGCTTTTCCACGACATCACACGACACACGCACACTTCTCCTATCACAATGCTGCCGACGCCAGCAAAGCGCGAATTAAATTATGGCTGTTGCACATGGAGCATTTCGAAACAATTACTCTGCAAACAGAAAAGTGGACGACTGGTTCGAATTGTTTGTACTTACCTGATTCGTGTTTGCTGGTTAAGAATGCTAAATCTTCTCCGGCTATCTAACGAACTTTTATGGGTATTTTTAGATAGACCAAAACAATATACAATTTCTGCGAATGATCAAACAGTGCTAATACCCACTTGAAAGAATTCTATCCTCGGAGCTATTTTGGGAATTCACTTTCCTTAGATCGTCAGAACACTACTGATACATTTTTCAAGGGACCAGATGAAGTAAGGGTAAGTAGCCAGAAAATGCAAGAGCCGAGGAACAGAAAAAATTAACAAATATTTAGGGGTGGAGAATTTTGTATCAGTGCGTGCACTCATGCCCGTGCAGCATGAAAACATTTTAGAGCACTTGCAGTGTCACATCCTTTTAATGAATATAGTGCCATCACTGTCGACACCCGGCTAGCAATCACAAATGGCGATACCTTTGCGAGATTGTCGCTAGGTGTATCGGCATCTCCGAGCTATAATGTAGCACTGTTTACATATTGTCGCACAACCGCAATTTCTAGTAGACAGTCAAAACGTCGCGAAAGTGAAAATACCCCCAAAAGCTATCATCGAAAAAAAACTACTCCTGCTCTACCCATGCCTAAATTGTCACTAGTACACTCATTGGCGCTCTCTCCCCTGATCTAGTCAAGGTATGGAAAGCCGGAGCTGGGAACGATGTCATCTATAGAAATTTTAATCAATGTATGGGATTCTTTGTGAACTCAATTGTTGTAGGCATGAAAAAAAATGAAAGCGCACTTAATAGACCAACGGGACGAGTCTTATCGCTGGCTTGACCAGCTCCAGCTGCTGCGGCAAACACCATCATCAAAGGCCTTATTCTGGTGAGCAGTTACATCATAGGCACCATCTTTGCAGTACGATACTTAAAGGCTATGCTTTTGTTGGCAGCAACCGAAAATACCTGTCACTTGCGTCTCTAATGCGCTCATTTTACGGTCAAACCAAACGAAGCCGCGAGCAAAGTCAACATGGCCGCCCTCCTCTGTGGTCACTGAACGGGCTTGGAGCACATTTCATGACATATCATACGAGAATACATTTGATCCTATGGGAGCTATGCCGGGACAGATGGAAAACGACTTAACAGCCAGGAAAATGCAACAGTCAGGAACGTAACAGTGCAGTTCGGCTGTATAGTAGCAGATCACATTTTGAACATGAATTTTTATAAAGAACCAGCATATCATGAATATAAATTGTTTTTATGTATGTTTTAAAAATATTTACTCATTATTGAGTGCCTTTCTTTGCAATTTTCAGGAAGCAAGAATTAAGGGAGCTAAAGATGCTCCAGAAGATGGAAAACAAGCAGTTCCAAGACTTGGACATGAAGGAGGAGTTCGCCAGGGAACAGCAGCAGAAGAAGTTTGATCAGGAACTAACGGTACTAGGCCACATTTTCTGTGTTAAATTAAGCATGCTCTTTCATCACCAAGTCCTGTAGCTTACCAACATATGCAGTTTGGGCCTTTGTCAGTTGTATAATATTATTTGAAGGTGTCCAAATATCTTTTCAAGTAATCATTAAACTGTCTCTGTATTGAAGTTTAATGCCTCACAAATTGATTGGCACAAACATTTTTTGCATTTGTTAAGAACTAGCAGAGTCACAAGAATTTGTTTCGTGCTCAACTTTTTCATTACTGCGCAAAAATGGTTGTTTTTCATCTCGATAATATCGTTTTTGCAAATTGGAAAAGTACTCCAGCATGCATTGCAACATTCTAAACTTTGCACTATAAAATTCTCTTTCCAAAAAGTGTATGTTGTAGAGCAACAAAAATATTTTAGAATGAATAAAAAAGTGAAAAGTGTAGAATTTTTGGTCACAAGCTGGTAAACAGTGCAATAAAAACACTATATGGGCAAAAATAATCAAAACAAAGAAAATTCAAAATATACGTTTTGTAGATAAATGACCCAAGGAATAGCATAAAAAAAAATGTTGTACAAAAATGCTTCTCTTCACATAGACAAAGAAAATCAGAACCGAGGTGCTGCTTCGTTGCTCGTGCCCTGCGATGAAGCATTGCATGGTTTTTTGTGAGACACAAGTGCACTTGTACACTTTTTCTCAGTAAATTTTTGTTGTGTTGTGATAAGAGTCTCCTAGTGTTCCAGTAGAGGTAGATGAATGCCCATGATGTGAATAATCCTTCTATAAATGAGATGCCCAATGAACTTCGCTACTTCATTTAGCGTCACTACTTTCCATGAGCCACCTTACACCGCATAGGTTGGCGTTCCAATATGTGCATCCATGCGTGTGTGTTTTTTTATTATTTTTGTGCATATCATATTAAAGAAAGGACAGTATCAGCGGAGCTCTAAAACATTTCGCACTGTTTCTTAGTCAGGGCCAAGATGTGCACCAGGAGCCTTCTAGTTAGGAGAAGCTCTGCAGACAGCGCCAGCACACTGCACCCCAGCGAAGTGTAGACCATGCACGTAACCAGAGTAGCTATAAGATTGTGCGCAAAGGTCAGAAACTATACGCACTTGTGGTGGAGGAACCTACTTGAGGATGTAAACAAAACAAACCCATGAACGGCTGTGGATGTATCAGGCTTACGCAAAACATCGCCATAAAACTTGAAGCTAAGGTGCTGTCATCCTCGAACTCTAAGCTCGTCGTCACTCAATTCAGGTGAGGTTGAATACAGTTTCGGGCAGCGCATGTGTTTTTCAGTGCTGATGCGCACCCATGCGCGCGTGACGACGGCATCATAGGAGTGACTAGTGACACGAAATGCGACCCTGTATCTAATATAACAATGCAAGCAAAACCAAAGCTGCTGGAAACTGTCATAGAAGGCCACCTCAGCACTTAAAGCACGTGGCGGATCTTCACAAATATTTTTTGTAGAACAAATTTTTCTTGACTCATGGGAACAGCTTTCTATTGAAGATATGGCATAAATTTCTGGCTATCATTGCTGCTCAGCATAGTTAAATTGCAAAGCTAACTCTTTAGTTTGATATTTGGCTTGCAAAGGTTCTTTTCATTACAGAACTTTGATGTTACTGTACCATAATCACGAGGTGCACACACTTTTGTCAAGTTCGCCAGCCTAGTGCACTTTTCCAACAATACACGCACATTGGTTCACGCAAAGGTCTGTCAAAAATCACTGTGTTGCCGAAACGGGCAAATTAAAATTGATTCTGAAAGTTCAGTGTCTGGAATAACTACTAGAAAGTGCTGGCTGCACAAGAAACAAATTCAACGTGCGAGAATCGATGATCCTAAAGAGTCGATCACTGATGATCGACTTCGATAGGCGTGGTATCGAAAGAGTCAAGTTTTTTTTTTCTTTCATCCAGACGAGCGCATTGAAAGCTCTACAGAGAGGGAAGGGAGGACGTGGAAGATATATACTGTTTGGGCTTTGACAAGTAGCTACAATAGTGCATGTCACGAAACATGTTTGCTCACTCATCAGTTTGAATGCGCCAGCTGGTCGCATCAAAGATGTACAGCCATGACAGAGAAATATTGGCACCAGCGACCATTCTGGCCAATGGTCACTTGTGATAATCTTTTTCTGTGGTCACAGTGCCTGCAGCACGAAACTCTCATTAATTTGGACATATTTTGGCGTACTTCTGTTGATCTGCTTTTTGCAAAGTGCCGTGACACATGAGCACTTTCCCTAGAGGTAAAGTCACGAAACGCCTCTTTATCAAGGGTGCCGCCTTGTTCTGGCAGTACTGGTTGTTCCGGCACCTGCATAAACTAAAGTTATGTAAATATTTAAGCTTTGTAATATTTTCTAATAGCATTCGCTACTCTATTTTATTCGCACAGGAATTTTACTATTCAAAGCTCACATTCAAACTTCCAAAAAATACCGTATTTACTTGCGTATTGAACCCACCTTTTTTTTTCCCCCAGGAAGGTCAACGCCTATAAATGGGGAGGGTTCATTATGCGAGAGAAACAAAAAAGTGAAAAAAGTTTGTGGAGATCTGAGGCGTGCCCGCGACCATTTCGCGGGCATTCCGCCACACGGCCACACCCTTTTGCTTTTCTGCTCTGTTAACACCACGTGGCGATAGATGGCGCCACGTGCGGGCACGGCACGCGGTACGCGCGCGCCGAGGGAGCGGTCTCTTCTTCGTGGTCGGCGCCGGGTAAGCACTTGTTTTTCTTCGTCCGCGTCCCCTTTGGGACTCGCGGTCTGTAGCCTGCCTGGGGTGGCCTTGGGCACCCCGGCAGGCGTGTTTACTTGAGTGCTGGCTTCGGTAGCGTACGCTAAGCCCAGACCGGTGCCTAGTGCTTGAAGTGGTCGTACCACAACGAGCCGCACTTGCCGTAGGCCTACGCGTACTAGGTTTGCCCTAACACTCGCGACCAGGCCCATTGGCCATCGTGAGAGTGCGCAGCATAGCCGCGAGGGACCTTTTCCCGACCGGCGTGTCAAAGCTCGCCATTGCCAGCTGCGACGTGCTCGCGGTTTTCCCCTTATTGTGAACATCCGCGTGCGGGTGCCTTTGCTACCCGCGTCCCGGGAGCGGACGTTGTACAGTTGTGCGGGGTGCCGCCAGAGGCAATAAAGTGTTGTGTACTTTTGCATTAGAACACTGTCTAATTGCCGCGCCGCGCTAAACGCCTTATTAGTTGAGCGCGCGCGGAGCGGTGCGCTACACGCAAGTGAACGGAGTAGCGGCCCTGTGGCTCGCTAAGCGTGAACCCGCGGTGATCGTCCGCTGCAGTTAGTAGCGGGGCCACCATACTAGCGCCCAACGCGGTATCAAAGGCTCATTAAGCTTTTGATTAGTCTTAGCCGAGTCAGCCCGCCTTTGCGAATCAGACTCGCCGCGTTTACCCGCGTTATGTCTGCTCCGCGTGAGTTCTGTCCGCTGACGCTTTTAGCAGATACCGCATTGCTCGAGAACAGGGCCAGTGCCCCCCTTGAGCATCACAATCGCGCACCCTCGCTTGTCACAAGCCCCAGTCGGGATGACACGAGGCGCTACGTATCAGCTCCCACTGGAGAGGTAGCGTGTTTTGGGTCCGGGGCCATAGCCCAACCCGAACAGTGCACAAGGGCAAATTGGACTACTACTGCTCCCTTTGGAATGCATGGCAGTTCCATGTCACAGCGCTCCGAAACGACTCTCAGTGGAGCTTCCGGAGCGCAAATCGGCACCGCGGCCTCAGCCGTTGCCGAATTTTGCCCGCTGACTGCTACGCAACCTGGCAGCCAAGTTAGTAGCGGTGCCACCATACTGGCGCCCAACGCGGTATCAAAGGCTCATTAAGCCTTTGGTTAGTCTTAGCAAGCCAGTTCGCCTGCGCGATTCGGGCTCGTCGCAACATGTCTGCTCCGTGGCATGCCGCGTTGCACAAAGAGGCCACCGCCTCTATCGACGGGCGCCCTTCGGCGCTCGCCTGTATCGTCACCCCTTTTTGTGGTGAATACACTCCTACGTGGTAGCTGACGCGCTATCTCGTGCCCCAGTGTCGACCAGGAGCCTGGATCCCGGTGCGACAACCGCTAGCGGTGCCTTTGCGCAAGCAAGCGGCGCGGGCGAAACGGCGGCGGAGCCGCCGAGTCGAGAAAAGGGTGAGTGCGGCGACGAGCAAACCCTTTCCACGGGCCAGGCAAGCAGCGCGCCGCGAAGCGGGCGAGAGGGGGAGCGAAAGGGAAGCGAACCCGTAACGCCAATGCGAGCGGAGGCGATGGCTGCAGTCCTGAGTGGAAACGATACCAAGCTCCCCTTTGGGAGAATGGGAATCGCTTTCAGCAGACAAGAGTTACTGAAGGCCCAGCAAGATGATCCGTTTTGTCGCGAGTTTAGCGACGGTCTCAGGGAGACGGAGCGCCGAGACGCTGCTGATAGTGCGGCGGGCGCAGGGGGACGGGAACCGGCGTGTGTCGCTGGGTCCCCTGCGGATACATACTTGCTGGACCATGATGGACTCCTGCTGAAGTACATAGCCACCGATGAGGAGTCAGTGGACCCGTTTAAAGTGGTTGTGCCCAAAAGTCTGAGAGGCGCACTGTTGCGAGCCTCTCAGGACAAGCCCATTGCCGGTCACCTGCGTGGCTCTAAAGTTTTTGCGAAACTGAGCAAGGTTGTGACTTGGCTTGGCATGAAGCGTGACATTTTTCGCTATTGCCGTTCCTGCCACGTCTGTCAAACGGTGAAATCAAGGGGTGGCAAGCCGCCCGGCTTGATGAAACCGATTGTCAGTGAGCGTCCGTGGCAAGTAGCCACCTGCGATCTAATGGGGCCGTTCCCCAGGAGTAAGCAGGGGTTCATACATCTGATGGTAGTTGTTGATCATTTTTCCAAATGGGTGGAGCTGTTTTCGCTGCGGTGCTAGAGAGGCTACAGGAAGTGTTTTGTCGGTTCGGCTTTCCGAAAAGATTGATC